ACTTGGAAGGCTGAGGCGGAAGGATCGCTGGAGCCCAGCGGGTCGAGGCTGTGGTGGCCAGGAGCGGCCACTGCACTCCAGTCTGGGCGACAGAGTGAGACTTCAACTCAAAAATAAATAAATAAATAAATAAATCCTTTTTAGCTCAAATGTTCCAGCATAACTTGATTGATCTACAGCAGTAGTTCTCCAAGTGTGATACCTAGGTCAAGATCATTGGGATCACCTGGGGACTTGTTAAAAATCTAAGTTATAGCCAGGCTCGGTGGCTCAGCCTGTAATCCCGCGCCTTTGGAGGCTGAGGTGAGTGGATTGCCTGAGCCCGCGGGTTCGAGACCCGCCTGGGCAGCGAGACCTCATCTCTACAATAAATCAAAAAAAAAAAAAAAAAAAAAAATCAGCCGGGCGTGGTAGCGCGCCCTTGTAATTCCGGCTATTCAGAAGGGTGAGGCGGAGGGATCGCTGGAGCCCAGCAGGTCGAGGCTGCGATGTCCAGGAGCAGCCACTGCACTCCAGTCTGGGCGACAGAGTGAGACTCCAACTCAAAAAAAAAAAAAAAAAAAAAATCTAAGTTATTGGACCCCACCCCAGAGCTACTGAGTCAGAAACTCTGTCCTTTAACAAGCTCTCCAACAAGCCCTCCAGGTGATTCTAATTCACAAGAAAGACTGATAACTGCTGCTCTGCAGTGTAGCCAAATCCCTGGTATGGTGAGAATCCCTATACCACAATGTCAGCAGACATTGAAGAAAGATTTTACAGCAATTTCATGATTGGTATTTAAATCCAGTATCTTATGTGCCGCTTCAAGTCTCTATATAATAGCTAACCATTGCATCATATTCAAGTTTTCAGGAACTAACCACAGAACTGCCACTCTTAAGCTTCTATAAAGTACAGGCAATTGAGGAGTGAACATTTTTTTCTTAGGGTGAACAAAGAATATGCAACGGACAAGGGATTAATTTCCAGCAGCAGCCTCCTAATTTTGTATTCATAACGTTGTACGCATGCTAGGCTACACATGCAATGTCTGCTGATATACATTAGGTAATTGGGCATCCAGCAGCCCCATTTGCATGCAAAGGCTGTCGCACACTTCACATCTACAAGTCTAAAATTAAAGCCCAGTTTGAAGCTGGCTGAAGGCTAGCTGCTAGGAAAATAATGAGATAAAGAAGAAATGGCTTCTGTTCATCAGTGCTTTTAGCCTCTACTGTTCCATCTTTGCTAATTTGCCCTTTGAAATTGTATATTCCAGGTAGAAGAAAGAGACTTCTAAGAGTATCTGGGCTTAAAAAAAAGGCAGCCCCTACAGTTAGAAGCTTATGTTTATCCACGGCATTTCCCCTAAAACTGCGCACACATAAGTGGCAGTCTGTTGCTATGCTATATTTTTGCTTCACCAAGTATTCATGCTCTTGTGGGACCACATGCCTCATCTCGAAAAAAGAGCCACCCACATCACCTATGCATAGACTGGGGTCTGTGACATCATTTTGTTTCGGTTCAACCAGCATTCATCCAGCAGCTACTTTGTGCCAGACACTGTGCCAGGGACTTGAAATACATATCAGTCAACCACACTTTCTGCCCTCGAAAGGTCATGATGTTTTAACAGTTTCCTTGTATCTCAGTGCTGAATATTTTTTGATTAAATAAAGTCTTTCCTGATTCCCTATTTGAAGTGACTCCTTGCTTTGCTGAGCACCTGCTTATGCTCAATCTGTATCCCTAGGAGAATAAGACACCCAGTGGACCCGAGCCCAGAAAAGTCAAAGCCTAAAAGCACAAGACTGTGGCTAGGAGGCTACTCAGATGAGTCATCAAGAGGAGGTGGCTACATTGCAAATGGTTTTTGCTCATTTTGTGGGAACCAAAAATGCACTAGTGTTTTTATCATACTCCAATATGATTCACCTGGAAGAAAATGCCAATTTAAAGCAATCTCAAGCCGGGCTCGGTGGCTCAGCCTGTAATTCTGTGCCTTTGGGAGGCTGAGGTGAGTGGA